CCCTCCCGCCCAACCGCCGGACCTTAAAAAACCCGCAGTAGCAGCCGCTGCAGCCCCATTGTCCGTACTTTGCTGCCGTACCTGTCGCGTACACGGACCTCGCCTCCCGCAGCAACGACTCGTCATCCGCTGGCGGAGGGTCTGCCGGCGTGGGTGTTTTATCCCCGCCGTCACCCGCCCACTCCTGAAAGAGCGGAGAAGAACCCCCCGAGTGAGGTGGGGCGGAGGACGAGAGGGGGTCTATTAGGGGGGTGTGTATTTCACGAAGGGGACGGAGGCAGCAATACCAGCTACCGCAGGCCCGATCATCCCGACCGACGGACTTCCCCCCCCAGTGCGACCGGAGCCTGGGCCCATCCCCTCACCCTGACTCACATCGGCCCCTCGGGGCCCCCTAGCCAGCCCCGACCTCCCAAACTCTATTCGGGTCGTAAATATGCTCTGTCTGCAGGGTTCCTGCCCCACAGCCCTCCCAGACCCACATCCTCATAGGCCGCCCCCCCTCCTAATCTTCTGATAATCGTCTGGCTCCTTCCCCCCCAAACCCCCCACCCTCGCCCCCCAACCTCTCTGTCACCCCCACCGTGATCAGGTCCATGCACCGGTCCTCAGTGAGGGGGTACTGGAAGCCCCAGCAGCTCACACAAGCCAGCACCAGCCGACTACCCGCCACCTGCTGCTCCAGGGGGGCTGACCGGGACAGCAACCAAGACTCACACACGGTGTCGTACACGCTCTCGCGCTCCTGCATGTGTGCAAGTGTATGTATGTATGGGGGGGAAGGGGAGGAGCCCGGGGGGATGGGTAGGTAAGACGTGTGTTGGGGGGCCCAGACGTAAGCCGGCGAGCAAAAGAGTGGGTGGGCTCCAAAACCACTCCCCGTGTCTCTCCCGCTTTCCTCCCGACAGTAAACACACACACACACACACACACACACACACACGTACACACACACCACACCTTGATGCACGCCAGCAGCCGGCCGATGCTGTGTGCCGAGCGCTGACCCGCGGGACCGCCCCAGGGGTCACCCACGACATCGCGGAAGCGGCCCTCCTCCGTTTCCAGCAGTACGGCAAGCTGTACGGCAGCTGCCAGCTGGGCATTGTAGCCGCCACTTGAGATTGTGGAGAGCAATTCCCGAACCGCCTGTCCGCGAGTTCCCGGGGGTCGGCGGGTTGGGAGAGCGAGGAATATGAAATTTCGGTTGGTGCATGTGTGTGTATGTGTGTGTGCATGGTCATGGGAAGAGAGTTTGGTCTTTGGGAATGCAAGGGCGGGGTGCAAAGACTTCGGGCTGCAGGGAGTTAAGCATGGGTTTAAACGGCATGTGTGAGACAGGATGCACCAGGGCGCTATGGCGGTATTCAATTCCCAGGCGGCCTTGTCACACACGCGTAACGCTCGGCAAACCCTACCTGGATGTCTACCAGGGGTAAAGCCACTCTAGGAAGGAGTGGTACCCCTGAAGCAGTTCTGCTCCCCTCCATTACAGCGAACAAGCCCCAGTCTTCACGAAGGGTTCAGTGTCCAGGTGCGGACAGAGTGTTCTCGGACGGATGTCGAACTATCTAGTAAACAGACCGCCACGAATGCCCACTGTTTTCTATGCAAAACATAGACTTAACAGTTGCAGTCCTGTTTGGTCGAATCAGAATGTCACACGTCGAAATTGAGAGCAGCCAAGTGCCGGTGTCGGACATCGAAAAGGTCGGCCATAACAAATCCAAGGAAAGCTTCTCAAAACACATCACCATGGGGAACCGGAAGCAACACGAAGCATACTTCGTGAAGCGCGTTTGAACAAAATAAAGGTACGGAAATGTGTACGAGGCAATACTTTCACAACAACCAGGTTGTATGCACATTTGCCAACACGAGTGCCGGTTATATTGCCGATATCTAGGTTAGATTACGGCACAAAATGGGCGGCGGCCATCATCATCATGCTCCGGCAGTCCCAGAGCCCTCTTATGCCAAGCTTCTTGCTCCCAAGTCGGGCCTCTGTCCTCCAGACTTTTTCTATAACCGCGGTGTGTCAGGCAGCTCAGATATGAATGCCGTGCTCTCACGATTAGCAATGTCTGTTTGTCCGAATTAGGCCAAAATGTGTAATAAGCCGCACGCCATAATGCTCTGCAGAGATTTGGTATCCTCATGGTGGCTTTTACTGCGACCCCAAGGCCTGGCGTAGGAACACCGTGCTAACGCTAGGGTAAGGCCTGTAACTTGCTCTGCCTTCAACCGCATGACTTATCCTGACTGTTGGAAAACTCTATACTTGGCCCAATGCACTTGCAGAGCTATTGGGGGATTGATGTACCTGTTGTTCAGGCACTCGACTGCCAACGAGGTTCGGCATATGCCGCCTAAGGGCTGGATTCCTAGCATGATGTGGAACCCCAGCGTCCCGGATCCAGTGGACTTCCGGGGGCGGAAGCTTGACCGCAACGGGAACCTGGTGCAGGAGTAAGCAGCCTCGACGGCTTGAGTGCAAACCTTAGAGGCTGGCGGAAGCCCGACGCACGCATGTGCTGAGGGGCTTGGCCGTTAGCTTGCGTGTGTATGCGTGTTTCAATGGCGTTGCTTGCATCGGCAGCGCGTGGCACGCGGACGCGATCTTGGCGTACTTTGAGAAGAGACGGGCATCTGCTATGGCGCTGGAGTTTCAAACATACGTGGACCAAACATGCACCCGCACCAGGCTGTCCACGAGAGTCTCTGAATCTCCGGCCAGTAGAGCGGGCTCGAGGAAGCGCCACGTCGTGTTACGTTAGTGGGATAAACCAACATGTGTATAGGGCAAGGGTCCTGTTTTTAAGTGTGACACGGTGTGTTTGTAACGTTTACATATTTTTAGTGCAAATTCACTCTGTTTTGGGCTCGTATGTTACACCCGAGCATGTAATGCCAGGGAAAAGCGAATACCCCAGGTTCAATAATGTGCTTCGATCACTCTCATGACAGACTGTGTCTCGAATCCATAAGGGAAGAACAACAAGGATAACCCTGATTGCTAAAATCCATCTTTCTACCAGCGTCGATACCCTTCCAGCATATTATCCAACCACCTTCTAAATACCACACCATCTGCATCTTAAAGATCCTCCTCCGTACCATTTACCACGCCGACTTTCACCTTATGGAACAAAGCAACAGCAGCACAACAACATTTCCAGACCTCGACGATGTGTAGGCAAACCAAACCGCGCTCAAACGAGTTGTGTTCTCCGGCGTCGTTCGACGGCTAACAAAGCATCCACATGCTAAGCAGTAACGAGAAACTCGAGACACAAAAGCACGAATCCCATACGGGCTTGAATATTCCTGTTTATTTCTCGTAACGGCGGACACGCAGTTACACCCAAATTTTAATCGTACCCAGCCAGACAAACACACTGGCACCTCTTCCAAACGTTGTTTTACGTGAAGAGAGGACAGCGCCACACATGTGCCTAGCCCCGTCAGACCCGCGGTGTAATTGTCATGGCCGATACAGACGTCATGAACAAAAACAATGGCGGTAGGCAACAGCTATCATCTCCCACTTCCCTCCTCCCACCACAGCACCGTCGCAGCGTACCTCAGGCACACACACGCTTATAACTGAAGCGAGCTTCCAAGCAGCTGGTTTTCACTCAAACTCGCAAAAATACGTCTTCCTTCTCTGGCCGAGCTCATCCGGGGCAGGGGGTTGAAGGTTCGACACTCTCTTCGCCCCGGACTGACAACATCTCCTTTTGGGTTCGAAAATTTTTTGTAGGGTCTCTCGCACCCGCGGATGAGGTTTTTAGGGGTGGGATGGGGGAATCCAGGTCGGTCCTTTTAGCTCCGACCGCATGGGCTTTTTAAATGTCCATGCGAGCCGGGACTATGCAATACGGCGCGGCAGGTAAAAGACGACAAAAAACAAAGAGTGCTACGGCAACTGATCACCACGTACCACAGTAGCGACTCGTTGTAATAATGATAATGATACGGTAACAGTGATAATCGAAATGCGGCATTTCTCAATTCGTACGGAGGAGGGGAAGTTTGGGGACGTGAGCAGCGCAGCGCTGGCGTTCCACTTCCCTAAAGCCTCGATCGCGTGCTTCCGCCGCTGAACCATACACATCCTTCCCCCCGGCGCAGCAAAAAAAGCGAAACGCCACAAGTTGGAAAAAGCCTTGCCATCCACAAGCCATCGACCCATCTACCGTTGCCTCATGCACCTCCATCATAACAGATGAGAACAGCAATTTTGAAAACGCGGGAGGTCCTCCGGCAGCAAGGGAGGGCCCTCCCTAGAGACACGCCTCCGCAGCCAGGCGCCAAAAGCTATACAGCTGGACTCGGCAGACCGGCCGTCTACAGTTGACTAGCTCCTTTTTCCAACACGCACCCGCCCGCCATTACCCGGATACCCCCTCCGCTTCTCTCCCACATCCATCATCGAGCCATTCCCCCCCCTCCCGGCCTGCCTTGCTGTCAACACCATCTCACCTCTACCACCATGTCACCACCCTGCTATCACCACACCTCGACCGCCACCACGGTGGCCGCTACCACCCCACAAGTCATCATCACCACCGCAACCTCACCTCACTTGGCACTCTTGCCGCCGCGCTCCGGCTCGCGGCTCTGCGCCGCCACCAGCCGCGCGTACGACCCGTTGGGCACCGCCATGAGCTCCTCATGCGTGCCTTTCTCCAACACCATGCCGCGGTACACCACAGCGATGGTGTTGGCGTTGCGGATGGTGGATAGACGGTGCGCAATGACGATCGAGGTGCGGCCGCACATAATGCGGTCTAGGGCCGCCTGCACCACGGCTTCGGAACGGGCATCTAGAGCCGAGGTCGCCTCATCCAGTAGCATCACCTGGTGCTCGTTTGTTGGTGTTGGTGTTGGTGTTGGTGGTGATAGTGGCGATGTTGAATGGTGTGTCAGTGGTGAGATGTGGGAAAAACTGGTAGGGGGAAAATGGCCCCGCGACATACATACATACATACAAACGGGGATAGAGAATGACACAAAAGAGTTCTTCGCTCAGAGGCGAACAGGTTCGTTCTCGACTGGCAGTCAGTTGCAATAATGGGGTAATAGGGTGAGGGCCGCAGCATGTTGGCGGCCCCATGAGAACCCCTTGTGGACAGACTCGGCTCCTACCAGAGCTACTTCAGTCAGTCCGCTGTCCCCTGACGGGCGAGCAGAGCTTACCGACGGGTAAGAGCGCTAATCGCAAATAGCTGAATCATGCTATAAGTAAGTTTCCTTTTCCTTTTTTTCTCAGTTTGCGTCCGGCGATTTTCCCTTCAGGACCGTGGCCTGAAAAAGCCCCGACCTGGCCCACAAGCCCCCCGCCGCACACCACTCGCACCACCCTCCACCCTCACCTTGGGGTTCTTGATGACCGCCCGGGCAATGGCGATACGTTGCTTCTGACCACCGCTCAGCTGAATGCCGCCCTCACCCACTCGCGTGTTGAACTTCTCAGGGAGCGCCTCGACGAAGGCGAGCGCGTTGGCCGCCTCTGAGGAACGAGCGGGACGTGCGGGACACCGATTCAGCGGCACGTGCAGATGGCAGAAACTGGTTGTGGCGGGTTGTGGCCGGAAGGCCCGTATACGCCCAGACAAGCAGCAGGCACGATCACGAAGATCGACAACGTGGCGGAACGCTAACCTATCCGCAGAGTCGCACACAGGACGGAGGCTCGGAGGTTTTGAGATCCAAATAATGTACTTCAGCTGTCCTGTGAAGGGAGTGAGGTGTCCAGAGCCACCTGGCAGCCAGGTGCAGCCAAGTGCCATCAATCAATCAAGGAAGGGCCCAGTGGTCTCGCGCCCCCGACCGCCCTGGTGCGGTTCGACATATGGCCAGCATACCCCTTCACCTCTACCTCTACAAAGGAGTCTGGGCCAACAGACTCTTACCCGCTACAAGGCAGGTACTGTACGGCGGTACCGTGTGTAGTTGTTACAGTGGGCTCTAGACTCGGGAAGAGTAGAGCTAGCGGGCCCAACCTGGCCGTGTAACAAAAAGCACAGCGGCGCCTGGTTTTCTGAACAACCAGCCGTCCCGCTCAGCCCTCCCCCCTTCCCAAAGCCCCCCCCTACAACCCCCCTCCCCACAACCCCCCTCCCCAAAGCCCCCCTCCCCAAAGCCCACAGCGCCCCAACCACACACCTGCCGCCGCCACCAGCTCCTCCATGGTGGCATCCGCCTTGCCAATCCTGATGTTGTCCTGGACAGTTCCGTTGAAGAGCAGCGGCTCCTGACTCACCAGGCCCACCTGCACGCGGACGGAGGGCGGGGAAGCCGTGGTTGGAGGGGACGACGAACCCCACGTGAACGAGTGAAGCTGATGCCAAGGAAAGACTAATGCGCCAGAAGTAGGGAGGGGGGGGAAGGAGATTCTCCGTAAGCAGGGCTCTCTACCGACCGAAGGGGAAGCTGGTGCATGAAGGCGGGTGCAAAAGGAAAGGGCATTACTACGGGGGGGGTCATCACTACGCAGCGGCTCCTGCACGCACCTGGGCGCGGAGGAACCTCAAGTTGTAGCTGCGCAGGTCGATGCCGTCCAACGTCACCGCGCCCGCCAGGGGATCGTAGAACCGCTCGATCAGACCCACCACGGTGGACTTGCCGCTGCCGCTCTCCCCCACCAGCGCAGTCACCCGACCCGCAGCGACCGTGAGATTGAAGTGGTGGAAGATGATGACGGAGGGGCGGGCGGGGTAGGCGAAACGGACGTCCTTGAACTCGATCTCGCCGCGGAGACCCTTTTAGGAGGCGGCGGCAAATTCAGAAAGCGGGGGAAAATAGGCACAGAGGATCAAGAGGAGGCGGAGGAGAGGAGGGGGGAGGCGGAGGGAGAAGATCCGAGGTTGCAGGAGCGAGTGTGTCCAGTGTCCAGTGTCGGGGTAAGTGTGGTAAGAAGGACTTCAGAGAACGCGGGAGAAAGGGAAGAGAGGGGGAGANGGAGAGGGAGANGGAGGGGGAGACGGAGGGGGAGACGGAGGGGGAGACGGAGGGGGGGAAACCCACCACAAGAAACGGGACACGGTACGAGTTGGTGTAAGCAGGGGGAAGACGGCATGGTACGGGGAATAACAGCGGACGACGAAAAGGAGCAGGAGAGTCAAGATAACGAACACCACCCATCTGCCGGCCCAAACTCCCCCGGGCCCAACTCGCCTTGCCCCTGCCCTGCGGCCCCAAGCACCCCCCCCTCGAGGGGTGGGAGGGACGGACTTACCGCCGGATCGGGTCGGGCCCCTCCCGCCTCCGAGCTGTCGATGGCGGGCTTGCGGTCAATGATGGGAAATATGCGCTGCACCGCGGCCTTGGCGTTACCCAGATCCGGGAACGACATGGATACCTGGGCGGTTGGGGGGGTTGGGGGGGGTGCGCACCAGACACCAGAGAATTAAACCTTTCATCAGTATGAAGCAGCGACCCCGGGGAGGAGTGTGTGTGTGTGGGGGGGGGGAGAACGGAGGTGGTAACGGGGAGGGGCAACAGAAGGCACGGGCTTTCACACCTTGCACACAGGGCACACCCGGCCCCCTGTGGGGGGTACTGCGGAGCCGCACATCGGGATGCGTGCTACTAACAGACATACCCCAAAACGCATCCAGATGGCTACGGCTCCCTACACTTGCTCCGACTTTATACATTGTATCAACCGTTCACCGCGCCATCACACACAACACGAAAAGTTAGGTACTTTTGAATTCGTGCAATAGCTTCTCGCCCACCTGTGCCATGCCCATAGCAGCCAGCAGGATGGCCAAGAAGGCCTTCAGAGTGTCAGCAAAATTCACCCAGCCGTTCTTGATCTCATGCCCCATGAAGTAGATAATAATGGAGTACATGCCTGGTACGGCAAGTACGGCAGAAGGGAATGGTAACAAAAAATTAATGACAGGACGGCCCAAAGGATGCGAGGGGGCGCGTCTTGAGAAAGAGGGAAAACGGACCCACACGGTAAACATCCGCGGGGCCCCGAATGGCGGGGGGGGGATGAAGAGGGACGCGGGTGGGAGGAAGACGTGTGTGTTTAGGTTGGGAGGTGATGAGGCGGTGTGGGGACGGTCGGGTAGAGCAAGCCTTGCATGGCCAGCATGATGGGCCGCCGTCGCCGCCCCCACGCCCCATAACATCATTACGGCATACATACAGACACACACAGTCTCGTAATGCCACCCTCTCATACCGCCTACCTCTCCACTACACATGGACACGCACACGCAGACACAATCGCGGCCCTCACACACGTGTACATGTAGAGGCTCGCGGCTCCACTTACCGAACATTATGAAGTTGGAGTAGGCGAAAGAGATGCCTGACACGTTGCTTTGTCGTACCAGCATACGATTAGCTTGCTCCTGCGTTCCCACGGCGAAACGCAGAGGGGGAGGAGGAGGAGGGGGAGGGACAGCCGGTTTTGACGTAGTTGGAGGAAAAACCCAAACCAGGTTCAGCGGAAAACGAGCGGGGATGGTTAGCAGAAGGGAGGAGGGGAAGGGCCGAAAAAGCGAGGAGGGGCAAACAACAACAATCAATAAATAGTACAAGGAAAAGAACTGCAGACGTGCGGGGGGTTGAGGAGCCCAGGTTGGCATGGCACGACACTGGTGGCCGTTATTAGTTGGTCAGCCAACGACCAAGCCTGCCTGAACAAGGCCCCCCACACGCACCACGTGTAACTCCACCCTAACCCCCACCACGAGGTAAGCTGGCTGTATATATGTGTGTGTATGTGAGAGAGAGAGTCTCAAGTCATGCACTGCCGTACTTACAATCATCTTGCCGTACGACCCAGACACGAAGTCCTGCAGGTTGTATGCGTGAATTACGCGGATGGACGAAAAGGCCTCTGTCACCATTTGGTTGGCGCCCGCGTAGAGCTTATCCGCGTCGGAGCTGAACCCCGTGTGGAACTTCAGATGGATGAGCATGGAAAGGGTGATGAACGGAAACACGCCTGCGAGTATCGGCGGGTATCGGTATCGGCGGCGGTGTGTGGGCCCATTGCGGGGTGTTGCGAATTGTACCAGGTGGCCCCATCCAGGGGGGATGTGAAGACGGCGCATCTGGGAACATCCCTCTGGGCGATGCAAGATATATTCGTGGAAGCGGCAAGCGGGTCTCCGAGAGTGTGTGCGTGTGCGTGTGTGCTTGTTTTGGTGAGTTGTGGACCAGTGCGGGTTCACCACCACCACCACCACCACTACGAGCAACAGCAGAGCACCGCCACCACTCACCCGTGATCAGCAGCGCCATGCGCCAGTCGTACGCAAACGCCACCAGGTAGCCCAGCACCAGAGTGGACAGGTTCTGGAAGCCCACTCCGAACACGTCGCCCACTGCGCCGCGCACTTGGGCAGCATCGGTGGCCAGATTGGCCGTCAGCTTGCCGCTGGAGTGCGCGGGGTCGTCGAACCAGCCCACCTGCACCACAACCACCACCACCACCACCACCACTATTCAATGGAAAAAAGCCAGCAGCACTATACGGGATATCGGTAAGGGATCCAGCGCGCGCGCGAGCTAGACAGAGAGAGAGAGAGAGAGTACATAGAACCCAATGCGCAGCGATGTGCTCATTGCAGGCGGAGGTGGTGTGACCGTCGCGAAGCCGGGTGCGGAATACTGAGATCCTCAAGCAGCGGGACGCCGCCGCCGCCGCCGCCCGCTATGTCCGCCACCCCCTCACCTCCTGACGGATGATGGCCCCGAACAGCTCCACACGCACGCGGTTAGACACCACCTGGGCCACCCGGGAAAAGGCAATCTGCTGAACCAGCAGCGACAGGAAGGCGCCGCACGCGATCACGAAGAACATCCAGCAGTAGAAGGAGGCCTTCTTCTTGAGCTCCGCCTGCGGTCACACACACGATAGTGGCAGTGGCAGTGGCAGTGGCAGTGGCAGTGGCAATGACATTACAGCAACGGCGAAGGGGTGGATAGGGGGTTCACTAGCCACTGCACATACACACGGTCATACCTCCCTCCCTCCTCCCTCCCCTCCTCGCCCTCCTTCCTTCCCTCCCCTCCTCCCCCTCCTTCCTGCCCTCCTTTATGCTCATTCACCCTCGCTAGTGGCTCACCGGCGTGGTGGTGTAGAAAATGTCAATCATGGAGGCAAGGATGAACGCGAAAGCCGGGTGCTGCGCGCCGCCCGCCGCCGACGCCACACAGCCCCAAAAGGCTGACCAGTAACGACCGTGCGCATAGCCTAACAACCGCTTCAACGGAACTTTGTACGGCTCCTCCTTCTTGTCTTTTTTATCCTTGTCGGTGACCTTCCCGCCCGCGTCCACCACGTCCTTGCCGCTGCCGCTGCGCGCCCCCAATGCCGACCCCGCGGCTGGGCTCCCCCCGGCGACGGCCTTGTCCAGGCTGCTATTGGGCCCGTTCGATGGAATTGAGTTCGGAATGGGAACCCCGTGATGTGGCGCCGTCCCCTTGGTCATCTCCAGGGAGCCGGGTCTTGAGGACTGTGAGGTGGCGAAGGCCTTGACCTCGTCACCATCAGCGACGGCAGCCGCGGCGGGGTTGAGAGCGGTGCCATTGGCAGTGCTGGTTAGGAGGGCGGGTAGCGGCGACACCAGCTTCCCTGCCCCTTCCTGATCGATGTCCTCGTCCTCCGGGGCGCCCTCCTCTAATGGACCCTCATCGGGTGGGGGTGCCGCCTGCATCTGGAGCTTCACCAGAATGGAGTAGGCGCCTGGGTGGCGGGAGGGGGGGGAAAGGGGGAAAAAGACGAACCACGAGCGAGGAGGGGAAAGGGTGGGGGCCAGGGTTAAGAAACCTGTACGGAGCGGACACACGGGTCGCATAGTGCGTTACAAGGTAGCTAATGGCCAGAAGCAAAAGAAGGGAAGACATTCGCCGCCGCAGCAGCTGGGGTAGTGATTTGAGGAAGAGGACGGCAAGAGGACGCTCGGGATGGGTATTTGCTGTTGTCATCTCTTGTTCAAGACATAATAAGCTGTGAAACGGCATATATCCCAAATTATCGCTGAATTGAAATGCCTCCAAAACTATATCGGCTCCGTAGGGTGCCGTAGCAAACATTGAGAGGAAACACCCTTCAGCACAATCGCCGAATCTATCAGTGCCTGATAGCCTGATGATCTCAGGCGCACGCACCAGTCTCGTTCTGCAGCAGCTTCTCGTGCGTGCCGAGCTCCACCACGCGGCCGCCCTGCACCACCGCGATCGCGTCCGCGCCCCTGATCGTGGAGAGGCGATGCGCCACCACCACGGTGGTCCGGCCCACCACCAGGCGATCCAGCGCAGCTTGCACCAGGGCCTCGGATCGGGTGTCCAACGCTGACGTGGCCTCGTCCAACAACATCACCTGGCGGGGTAATTGTGGTATGTAGTAGTAGCAGTAGCAGTACTAGTAGTGGTGGTGGTATGTTGTAGTAACAGTCGAAGTATTGTGGTATGTAGGGAGGGTGTTGGTGAAGAGGTAGGGAAATGATGTTGGTACGTATAAATATAAAGAATCAGCCGCACTGTACAGATTGCGGTTGCACCGCGTGGGTGGGTGATGCCGTGGAGCAGTGGCGGCGTTTGCGGCCCCGGCTCGTCGAGGGAGGCGTTTAGGGTTAGGGTGAGAGAGTACGACCGGCGGCATAGGTCTTTAATGCTCGTCCATAGGCGGCACAAGCACGTCACCGCGCTTTCCCTCTCCGCCGTACCTTGGGCCCCTTCAGGATGGCTCGAGCGATGGCGATACGCTGCTTCTGACCGCCGCTCAGCTGAACACCGCGCTCGCCGACCTGTCAGGTTTAGCGCATTAAGAAGTAGAAGAATGTAAGTAGGATGTAAGGTAACTTTGGGGTCTTTCCATATTCGGAGAACTCAACGTCTCGCTCCAGTTGCAGCGGCAGAGGAAGGGGCAGAACATGAGGATTATGGGGCGTGGTGGAGCTTTTGGTGGTGGCGCCTGAGTGAAGTCCAGGGCGCCAACACCGACGGCAAGGTCAGGTCAGGTCAGGTCATGGAGGTGATCCCACATCGTAAAAAAGGCGCACATCAACTCACTACTAGCCACACAGCTCCCCTCCGATCAAGCACATGAGCACATGAGCATACGTGCAAAGGGTTTCTATTCTAACCTTCTTTTGCGTAAATTGAAGCGCACGCGCAAGCGATATAATTACAATAGTATTATCAGGCATGAAGGGACACCCCTTTTCACACCATACAAACCACTTTCCGGAAAATATTCCCCCCCATGTGCTAAACTTTCCAAGCTCGGTGTGCTCGCCCCGCGCTCGTGGAGTCCTTCCTGTAGGAGGGAAGCTTGCAAAGCCGCCCCTCTGGCTGCAGTGCCCGACCTGCCCCGTGTCGCCCAAACCTACCTGCGTCTCATAGCCCTGCGGCAGGTTGTGGATGAAGCTGTGCGCGTTGGCGGCCCGAGCAGCGGCCTCCACCTGCTCCGCAGAGGCCCCCGGCAGACCGATGGCGATATTCTCAAAGATGGTTGTCGCGAACAGCGTCGGCTCCTGGCTCACAAGGCCGACCTGGGCACCCGGGGTGGGTGGGTGTTGTGGTGGGGGGTACAGCCACATGCAGCATGTTGAGACGATTCCAAATTGTAATAAGGTTTTTATAAAAGAGAGCCATACCGAGTCGTATATTCTAAACAAAAAAGCTGAAAGGTGAAGCTGCCGGATGAGGTAACGGCATTCGCGTCCGTTTGGACGCGGCGTCATCAACACAACCTTTCGGGTTAAAACAAATTCAAAAACAGGTTTTGAGCGCGAGTTCGCCATATCATCGCGCGAGCTACCAGAGAGTGCCGCAACATACTACATGTTGCGGCCGCCGCAGGGCTGTACGGAAGTTACACACGCGCACTTATACACACCAAAGAATATCGTACTGTTATCGTACCGGCCTGACTGCCACATTACCATAATCCCTCACTCCACAGAGTCACAAACACACACGCACGACCCACATAATATCCCGCCCTCCCTCCCCCCACATACACACATTACGCACACCTGGTTCCGGAGCCACCGCACTGGCAAGGAGCGCAGGTCGATGCCGTCCAGGGTTACGGTGCCAGCCAGGGGGTCGTAGAAGCGCTCAATCAGCTGTACGACGGTGGACTTTCCGCTGCCGCTGCTGCCCACCAGCGCCACCGTCTTGCCCGCGGGCACGTGCAGACTGAAGTCGCGGAAGATGAGCACGTCCGGGCGAGATGGATAGGCAAAGTCCACATTGCTCAGCTGGATCTCGCCGCGGACGGTGTCCGGCGGGGACCCGACAGCAGCGGCAACTGTGGCGCCGTTGGCACCCGCTTTGCTGCCGCTGGCACGAGCCTACATGGCGCGCACAGTTGTGGGTGTTTTCGGTTATCGGTTATTGGAACGCAAGGCCGGAGAGCGGTGTCATGTGCGTTTGGCTTCGTCGACCAAACCATGAGGTTGTTGTTCGAGGCAGGCGGCATTCGTAAACTGAACGAGCTGTCCGTTGAAAACAGCGGCATGGTATAGCCAGTGGTCAAGAAAGGGCTATGCCCTGCTCACCGAGTGGGGCTGCTGGCTGGCAGTCGCGGGAGCGGGCTGAGGGTCATCCCCAATGGCGGGCACGCGATCGATGACGCGGAACATACGTCCGCCGGCGGCGCGGCCCTTCGCAAAGTAGGCCAGGTTAGGTGCCGCCTGTGAGGGGGCAACAGCAGAAAAGGATTGGGAGGGGGAGGGGTAGGGAGGGGAAGCAAGTTGAGACAAGTTGAGGGACTGGACGGACATGCGGACGGACATGGCAAGGAGAGTGATTTTCTTGGCGGTATTTGCTAGGTCGACAACCGCCATTACAACAACCGCCATTACAACCGTATCGTGAAGGTCGGGTCCCAATGCCGGTCACCCCAATGTCGTACAACGCCCGTTTCAATTCCCCCTTCCTCCCCCCCCCCGGAGCTAAACACTCCCCACCCCAATGATCCCTTCGTGGCGGAAACCCACACATACATACATACATACACATACATACACAGAGATACACAGTCAGGGTTTCATGCACCTGTGTGGCAGGAACGGTACACGGGAGGTAGGGGGGAGCAAACCGGGTCCCGGCCCGTCCGCACCTGGCCCAGGGAGAAGCCGCCCATCAGTGTCGCGATGAGCACCTGCAACACCTTTCCCCCCGTGTAGGCGCCCGCAGCCACACGGTACGCCCCGAAAAAGAGACCCACGGCGTACGTGCCGTACATGACAAACTGTACGCATCCAAGGCTGGCGCCGCTAAGCCAGCCCTGCCTCAGCGCCTGTGCACGCGGGAGGGGGAAAACGGGGACCCAAAAATATTAGCTTAATAAAGGTGTTCGACTGCGTGTGTGTGAGAGAGAGAGTGTGTGTGCTTGACGGTGGATCAAACAGCATTTCGGGGTAAGGCACACCGAGGTCAGGAGGTTACTATATGTATGGACCGGGTACACAGTAGACCAGACCAGTGGTCAGGGAGGCAGAAGAATCCAACAAAGAGCGTATCCGACATCCCGAAGTCTTCCTGACAGCGCCGCAAATGCAGAAGACAAGAAGAGGCGAGAGACAGAAAAAAATTAGAAAGGGCTGGATTGGATCTGACCAACAGGCAGACCGACTGGCACGAGGGCGCTTTAAGTAATTAAGTTCTTTTCACGCCATGCGGTCGTCAACCCCAGGAAGCCCAATATCGGGCTCTCCATCACCTTCACCTTGGAACTCACGCCAATTGCTGCGCGACCTAGAGCCAACTTGTCAGGTCATCACATCCCAATCCGCAGAAAAGGCATATGTTGAAAATATGAAAAGGAGAATACATGAATCCAATGCAGTTGGAAATTCCAAAAACCTTTACTCTATTACCATTAGCATCTAGAAAATCACGCCAGGGAATACCTGCCGTTCGTCTTCGTTTTCGCCATTCCCTCGTTCCGCAGTGTCGAGCTCAGCGGATTTGCTCCGAAACCCAGCCACAACCCCACGCTCTGCCACTGCGAGCTATCTCATCTCCCTCTCACCAACGAGCTTCGTGTGGTTGGGACTACTCCGCCAGTCCCCGCCCTCATGCAGCACTGGACTCACTGGACATTGGACCCTCTCCAGACATTCTTCATCGACCCACCCATCAATCCACCCCGCACCATTTTGCGTGTGCCCTCCAACGCCTTGTCGTACTGCACCATGGCCGCCTCCTCCCTGTTGTAAGCCGCAACAGTACGGATCTGCGAAATGCTCTGCTGCGCAATGGCGCTCGCCTGGATTTGCGGCAAACGTGCACGGGCCGGGCGGTTTTGCGGATTAGCTGCTGGACCATCTGATAACACAACGGGGTCAACAGCGCAACGCTTGGTGCAAAATCTGCAAACGCGAACGGGCAGATCGGCGCTGCTGCAAGCACGGGCAACCAATCAAGTTGAAGCCCAGGGAGAACCCAATCCATGAGGGAAAGGGTTTTTAGGGTTCTTTTTAAACAGACTTCAGCAACTTCCTTGTTAGCTGTAGCTAGGATACAAAATAAACGCACCGAGCTGGATTCATTTGACACGAGCGACTGTCAGCTCGCTGCTCGCAGTTATATTGTTCATCATCCCTTCGCTTAACTTGTCAGCTACAGCTACAGCAACAGCAGCATCTGCAGCTTCAGAGCAGGAAACACCTTTGCCTACTTTTGACCGCTTCAACGGCCCCAGCAGCCCAGCTCTCGCGCCCAAATAAACGCACCTCGGCGTACGCCCTGGACGAAGCGCTGTTCGCGATGGCCGTGCCCTTGGCGAGCAGGCCGCCGACGATTGCCAGAAACGGCATGCAGCCGATCATGACCAGCGCCATCTCCCAGCCCCTCACAAAGGCAATCGCGAAGCCGGTGAGAAAGGTCGAGCTGGGGGGTGGCAGACGGGCCCGGCGGGACCAGGGCGCGGGCATGGGAGTACTACCCTTTAAACAGGCCCGTCCGCGATTTTTTACTCATGACGAAGTGTATGTATACTGGGTTTGGCACTGCGGCGGCTGTGCTTGAGAGGGGGAGAGAGAGAGGGAGTGAGAGAGAGAGACGTTGTCCGCGTCTTCCTAGCACGCTAGTCCTACAAGCGATACAGTTTGCAGTCGCATGCCGTGGGCTCCCTTCACACGCACACCAAGCCCGGGCTCCCGCCAGTGAACTGCCAGTACGGTACCCCGAGTGGGTATTAGGAACCGATAGGACCGGAAGAGCGGGAAATCGGCTATCGATGATGACACTGACCTCAACTAAACCATTGAGCAGCAACAGCAACAGCAGCCGCAGCGATGGCAGGAAGGCTCAAACAGGAACCCAAGTGAATGCCGGAGATGCGCGGGCGCAGGGGAAATGGCCGTACGCGGAGGGCGCAATGCACTTTCCCAATTTAAAGGCCCACTGCGGCGCACCTGTGGTGCAGGAAGGCGCCCAGCTTCTCGCTGATGCCGTTCTGAACGTCGATGCTGTCCTCGTTCAGACCCTGGACCAAGCCACCTGCGCATGGGTACATGGGGGACGCGGAGTGCGGGATGGAAAGGCTACGAAATCCGAATCCGTACAACCACCGCGAGCGGCTCAGGAACAGGATCTTATCCGACAGCAGCGACATCAACAGCGACGGCTGGGATTTATCTCGCCTCGCTTGCTCCTCCCGAGCAGAAACGCTTGCAAATGTCCCCACCGGGATTATCACCGCAGGGCCAGGGCCCACCCCAAAGATCCTCAGTCCCCCCCCTGGCGCCGCCTCCTGGCACTTCCTCGCGCGCTCTCCCGTCGCTACGGGCCCCTTCAGCCGTTCGCACCCACCCACCCCAAAAACCACCCCCACACACACCTGTGGTCGATTGCACATCGAAAAATGCCACGTCCTGGCGGAGAACCGCCGCAAGGAAGCGTGTCCGTAGGCGGTTAGCCTGGCGGTTACCCGTGTACATCCATACGGCAGCTTCCAGGTAGGATCCCACGATGGCGGCAATACCCAGGTACAAGAACTTGAGGGCCAAATCGGACACGGTGCGCATGAAGGCCCCGGTACCGACACCGGCACCGAAAACATCTGCAGGACAGGACACGTCATCACGGGCTCAGGGTATGGGTGCCATGTGCGTGTTAGGGTGGTCGGTGGGATGGATAGCGGGGATGGAGGGGCGGGAGGTTGGGGGTTTGCATTACCCCGGACGGACGTGGGTGGCCGTGGGTGCGTGGGTAAAAACTACGGTGCGGGCTCTTGTGGTCCGAGTCCAGCCGGCTGATAGAACGCTGAAGGAATTTGGGGGCCTCTTATATGTTGCGGCCGATAAAGCTCGGGGCCGTGCGATATGGACGTTCGAGGAGCGAGTCCTCCAAGGCCCCTGAGAACTGATATGTGAAACCGCTACCGTACAATGTTTGGTTATATTTTGCCCGAACAGAAGCAAGAGTCTTATGGCGGAAACCTAGGCATAGCTGGGAAGAGGTATGAGCTGCCGGTGCAGCGATATAAACCTCCTCGTCTAACGTTCCAAGTTACAAGAATACAGTCAGGGACGCACGAAACGCCCGTCTGATCACATTGAACTTAAACATACCGGTAAACTCTCCAAAAATGATTGCAAAGAGCGGAAGAAGAGTTCCTGGATAGGAAGCCGGGGTTCAAGGGCGATGGATTGATATTAAATAGTGTTCAGACATAAGATGAAGATGCACATACTAGAGTATACACCTGTGTCCCTAAGCCGTTGATAGCAGGCCCGAGCAAATTGAAAGCGACAGCGACAAGAGCATATGCCTACGAACTGACCATTTCCGAGAGCCCCAATGGCTCCAATTATCATAAGGCAGATATCCCATCCATCGGCAGTGCTGCAGGCCAGCCACAGCAGCAAGTCAGCGCGTGTCCATCAAGATAACCACGCGATTGCAGCAAAGCGGGCATACGGGCGAAAAATAATTTGATAGCAACGAGCACTCAATAAGAACCTTAAAAGCTTGAAGAAGCTGACGGGGGGAACCTCTTCCTTGTTCGCTTCGACGGCTTTTCCACTTTCCTCGACGACGACGTCCTCCAAAGGGAGATCAACGTCATTTCCCTTAGCAGTATCAGTTTGAGTTAATGTCATGGCACTAAGCTAGTGCGCGGTGCGCCCACTAGACGCAGCGAACGTGGCCTTAGGGACTGCTAATGAGTAGTATGTCAATCGTGGCACTGCCCGTCCATTTAACCTGACCAAACTGCAAACGCAATTGTCTAAAATCGCTCCCCACAGGACGGGTGTCATAAGTCATGTGTCAGCTTTAGGTTTACGCTCAGGTACGGCACAAGCTCCCTTTTCCTATCGATGGCCTGGAGCTGTGAAGCACCATTTGGGCATTTGCGAAACAAGGCAAACTGGCAAAGGAAATGTTCAATAATAATCACTTGAAAGCACACGCGGATACGGAATGGCATACACCGGAAGGTTGGATGCGGAACGTAACCTGCATTACGACATTAGGATTCCGCGAAGAAACTGGAATAAAGAAACAGAGGCCAATACCCTTCAATTGCTTGCTGCTCTCAATATGCAGGACATCATCCGTAAAGTTGCTCGGCTCCAGTGCACTGTGAACGGGTTCGGAACTTGACTATCAAGGGAGAACATGGTAAAGCAGACGCGAGACGAAGCAGAGCGAGTGGACCTGCTAATGTCAGTTAACCCATACCTCATGTGTTTTCACATGAAAGGAGGTTAAGGGAAGAACACCGAGCCTTGTCGGTACAGGCCCTTTTGCTCTAAGACTTATGACCTAAGACATTAATGACTGAGCATTTGCCCGGGGCCCAGTGTTTTCATTTTTGAGCAAGGGAACTAATAAGAACGGGGCTCCGTACAACTCGTTTCACACCTCGTTGAATGAGAAGAAGCGGGCGCGCTCATGGGAGGTTACAGCCGACTGGCAATACCCCGAGTATCTCTGAACTGGGCAATGTATATGGCGCATGCTACCCTTCTGCGACAACACCAAAAGCGTGTCGGCGTTCCGCTACTTTGCTGATGGTGAGTGATTTCTGTAAAGATCTGTTCAACGCATTATCCCCGATTTGCTGAGGTTGCTGTGTGCAAAGAAAGTGAAAGTGCATTTCTGCGATAGTGTCACAGAATTACGGGATTTGTTACATCGTTCCCACATCGGCGCATGCTAACCTTGCGGTCAACATTTGCGGCGTTGGGACCGTGCTGCTGCCTTGATGGCGGAGGAAGCGCAGCATTCACCAAGGCCTCCAGATATACGAACTCAGGAGATCACAACGCAATTAATCCCTCACATCCCGTTCATACATCGATGACCGCTGCCCAAACCGTCCAATACCACCAAGAACGTACAACAGGCACGATCTCCAAGCGCCCCCCATGACACACTGCAAACCACTTGAGCACCATGTCTGCGCCCCAGATGGTTTAAGCTGCGCTCACTATGCTGGGCCGTTGAACCCTACACCAGGGTTGCAACAGAGCCGCAAGTGTACAGAAAGCTATTGTAAGTTCCAGATCGCGCTAGCGTGCGCCAAAGTTGCCGAAAGCCTCATCAGCTTCCTAGACAGTCCGCTGCTGACGTACCACACGTTTGCGGCAGTCACAGCTGCCTCCAATCCGGTTTACTGCACATGCGCGTCCAGCTTGACGGATAAAACCCGGCCATGAAGGTCGTGGCCATTGAACTTCTGCAGCAGGTCAAGCAGTGGAAAGCTTAACCCAGGCGAAAAAGGCATGCGTAATAGGCATCTCCGCTCGCAGAATGACCTTCAAAGGTCACTGTAGCTTGTCACAATACCAAATCTGGCCATTGCATCAAAACGCAACATACCTCGATAGCCGCGTTGGCCGCCTCAGCGTTCTGGAAGAGCACAGTGCCCCAGCCCTTGCTCCGCCCCGTAATGCGGTCTTTCTTGACCTCACATTCGAGGATGGGACCCGAGCCCTTCACCAGGTCCCGGAGCTGAGGCGCCTCGTATGAGAACGGCAAGCCGTGTACGACGATCTGCAAATAATGGAGCGATGGTACAGCAGTTAAAGCGCAGATAGGAAACACGGTCCTGAGCAGCAGCTGCTGGAGGCTATAGATATTACTCGCGATCAACGTTTTCAGCAGACATCTTCGCACACCTGGCACGTCTTCCGCAGTTCGGGGTCCGCATTGGCCCTGCGCTCACGGTCGCCGCGGCCTCCACGGCCACCACCACCGCCCATCATCGGGCCCATGCCGCCCATTGGGCCCATGCCCGGCGGCGGCATGCCCTCCTGCTGATCCTCTCGGACATGGATGGTGCGGCCATCCAGGATCTGCAGGAAAATAGACCAAGCCACCCCATATAATACATTAAGCATGAATTATTTCATGAAGTTCAGTGCAAAACGCGTCACCGACAGCATATCAAGCAAGAAGGCTATGACACCAACCCTAAATGTTGCAACTCAATTCCATTACGGACACAAGGCGCGTACCGAGCCATCCAGCTTCTGCATGGCCATCATGGCATCGCGCGGGTTCTCAAACTCAACAATGCCGCAGCCCTTGGACTTATTTGTTTCCTTGTCCTGCGGTGAAAACAGAGAGAACGCACGGTTATTCATGGCATACTTACTTCGCAGGCCGCGGAAGATTGGCCCGGCAAACACATAACCGCACGAATGCAAACATGGCAAACATTTGTATGTAGGTAAACCATACAAATGTTAATGTTAATGGGGGTTAAACATACCCGTTACCCACCACAATAATCTTGCTGTATGCAACGGGGCCGCACTGCTTGAAGTGGTCCTGTGGTCCACGAAACAAGAAACCATTACGACGGGCACCATTCACACATGGCATTTTGGACCGCAATTGACGGACAGATGAGCTTCAGATGCATGAGCACTACGGAATATGGCTTCGTTTCACCTTTCGGCGCAAAATCATGGATGCGCCCACAACTGCAGCTTAGCAAGTTTCACCAACCTTCAGCGCCCGCCACTCGGTTTCAAACGACAAGTTGTTGACAAAGAGCCTCCGCCCTGGCAAACCAGCTGGGCCTGGACCTGGGCCCATCATTGGCGGAAGTCCACCCATCATCGGCGGCACACCCATCATGGGTGGTATGCCGGCCATGGGGCCCATAGCGCCCCACTGGGGACCATCCTGAACACAGCACGAGATTATTTTGCAATTAGTTCAGCACGTTGTCACATGTCTGTGCCTACCACGTGGACAGATGGGAAGCAGAACAAATGCATTTCAAGAGTTGAAAAACGCATACCTTTATGCAACGTGCACGCTAACCACGCTCTGGCGCCCATGAAGGAGGACTTACCATGCCGCCCAAGCCAGCCATGCCACCCATGGCGCCCATGCCCAAAGCGCCCATGCCCATGCCTGGCATCCCGCCCTGCAGCAGCGCGAACGTAAAATGGAAGCTGAAAAATGCACAAAATATACGAAGACGCCAAAGAACATGCCAAGGACAAGACAACTTGTGGCTCCCACAGCTTGTTGCTGCGCTGGACCTGCACATTCGTCAGAAGCTTATTCGTCCTTCGTACACGTTAACTCACCATGCCAGCCATTCCAGCGAGGCCCATCATGTTAGCGAGGGCAGCCATGCCGCCCATTCCACCTCCAGCTGCAGCCGCGTTGGCCATGCTGAGAAGCGACGCCATGCTGTTCGCGCCCTGTATGCCACCGGCTGGTTGCTGCTGCGGCGGCTGTGGCGGCTGGCTAGGCTGCTGCTGTTGGGCCTGCTTAACCACGTTTGCCATACCCGCCATACCACCTGCACCCATACCACCTGCGCCCATTCCTCCGGCACCCATATTGCCTGCGCCCATGCCGCCTGCGTTCATACCGCCAGCATTCATGCCACTCGCGCCCATGCCGCCCGCACCCATTCCGCCGGTGCCCATTCCACCAGAACCCATTCCACCAACGCCCATACCGCCGCTGCCCATGCCTCCTGCGCCCATGCCTGAGCCCGGCATGCCGCCACCACCAGCGCCCATGCCCGCGCCTCCGGACATGCCGCCTCCAGGGCCCATGCCTACGCCTCCGGACATGCCGCCGCTGCCAGCGCCCATGCCAACGCCTCCCATGCCGTTGCCTCCTGAGGCTGCCGCCCCTTGCAGCCCGGCAAATTGGGCCAACTGGTTCATGCCGCCCATACCGCCGGCGCCCATGCCAGCCATGCCTGCCGCACCCATCATACCACCCTGGGACGAACCTGCTTCCGCACCAGGACACGGGATATCACGTCGAGACGACCGAAGGCCCCAACTTGAGGGCACTTACGTTTCGGAGAGCCAAACAAATCAGCATAGCGCTCACCCAACACGCTTAGTTTGCAATGAAAACGGGCTTGTGCTCATCAGCGGCAAACGGCATGGGCAGCGAACTTCAAAACCAGCGAGCGTGCAATCCGAAAGTGCATGATCAACAACAACGCTAAGCGTACAATAATCCGTCTGGTCGAACCATCCCAGCAGGCGACACTTGCAAACCATAGGTGCAGCAACGTCGCACAATGACATCTGGGGATGTCGAGCCAATTATCGCTACTTCCTTTGAATTGGCACAGGCAGGTAACGCCAGAGTACGTAAATCCCGTTTCGCCTCACCTGTCTTCGCCAACAGTAGCGGGAACATAACATCATCTCATCGCTAACTGTGAGTGTACACGTCCATAACCCATCCCGTTGCCCTATGCCTCCACCATGCTAAAAATCCTGATGATTACTCCACAGTCCGAACCCGCACCGAAAGCATCAGCCATGTGGAACAGACTGCTGCCACGCATGACCAGTGAGCGAACATCGTCCGCCACCTGCGTGCTCTTCTCCCATCATTCCTGATACTCAACCACCCGCCTGCATGCCCGCCCACCATCTGGACTCTTTAGAAAGAAAATCCCTACTGCCCTGCAGGCACCACATACCATATAAAGAGCCATCGTTGCCGCCCATGCCGACGCCGCCGTACATGCCAGCGCCCATACCAGCACCCATGCCCCCACTGGCAAGCTTCTTGGCGGCCGAAGGGCCATCGCCCATGCCCCCAATGGCATTATCCTGGTCAAGGCGTACGTAGATAGTCCTCCCCGCCATCTGCAACGAACCGACACCACGAATCCTAACTAGAGTAAAGCGATATCCTAGAATTACTTCATCTAGCTGAACAATAATACGTCTAGCAACACCGGAGACACACCTGAGTACCATTGAAGAGCTGGATGGCATTCTGGGCCTGCTCCGCAGTCTCAAACTCGACAACGCCGCACCCCTACAAGTTGCACAGGCCAAGGCAACATGGATGTGATTCCAACCTTTCCGCAATCAGGTCAAATACAAAAGGCATACATGTATCTCATTGCACACATCAAAACCGAACTGCACCAACCTTCGAAGTGCCCTTTTCCTTGTCCTTCATAACACCAGCGTAAACCACTGCAGCACGTCAAATACCCAAACAATAAGTACCAAAACATTGAGGGCAGAAGCACGCGTCGCGGGTTGCTCCTGGTCAACTCCCAGCTAACGCACCGGTGCCCGCAGTCCTGAAATAGCGCTTCAGCTCTTGCCAATCAACGTTGAAGGGCAAACCCGCCACAAAAACCTTCTTGATGCCGTCACCTGCTGACGTGGTTGAGACAGCAGCCGTCAAGGCCTTCGCCATTTCCATTGCCAAAGACGACCCCTCAACAGTGCCTTACCCTCATCGTCACGGCCTCTTTTACGCATCATGTTGCCGAAATCTCCCATGCCTGTGGCCATCATGGTGACCGCTGCGCGTCGCGGAGGAAGGCCCTGCTTTCAAGTGTGATCTTTGCACAGTTCAAGGTAAAGAAACTGCTCGACGGCCACAATTGAGGGTGTAAACTTCCAGATTATGTATAGTCATAGAACAAAATCGCATGCAAATGATGTATTGGTGGGTATTGCTGTACAGGCAGGCTAAAGGGGGCTTTTGGGGCCATAGGTACCACGGCCATGGATGCACTTGCGACATGCAATCAGAGCTCTAGTGACTGATCTTCAAACGTGGTTTAGTCCAGGCTTTTTATACTTTGCAGCATGCAGTTGTCTTGAAACAACGAAACATGCAAGCTCTATACGTGTTGGCTTTGTTCGCTGGCCTTGCGCTGGCGCAGACAGATAATCTTAGGGGTGTCAACCCAGATCTAGCGTCACATTATTCTGGGAAGGGTGGTGCTTTCACTTGCATTTCGGGTATCCCTAAGACAATCCCTTTTTCGCGAGTTAATGACGATTACTGCGATTGTCCAGATGGAAGTGACGAGCCAGGTAATGATCACATTTTGCAACAGCTCTGTGTGGGCTGCTGAAGGTCCGAACTTCTGCCCCCACCGAACCACTGGCCAGGTACCTCGGCTTGCCACAACGGGCGCTTCTACTGCCGCAATCTGGGACATGAATCGCGTCTACTGGCCTCAGCATTCGTGGACGATGGAGTTTGCGGTATGTTGAAGACAGCTGATATGTGTCGAATTTGGGTTTCGAAAGCACTCGTTAGCCGGCGTTAATGCTTGCAGATTGCTGCGATGGTGCCGACGAGCCTAAGGGCAAGTGCCAGAATACATGCTTACAAGCGGCTGCAGTGCGTAAGGAGGAGTTGAGAGGCAAGATCCAGCTGCATGAACATATGTTAAACCGAAAAAAGGAGTACACCACGAAGGCAAGCACCTTTAAAGAGGAGTTAAAGCTTAAAGCAGAAACAATCGACGAGGACATCGCGCGGCAGCAGGCAGAAATCGATAACCTGAAAGGTACGGTGTGCGTGTTGCCCCCGCTTCCCTCCACGCGGCTATTTGGGGGGGTGTCGTGTATGCTCTCGCCCGTGACCTCTGCTAAAGTGTTGCCTTGATCCATGACCTGATTTGCCGCGTCCAGGTGAAGTCACACGTCTGGAGGCTGAGGAAGCGGCTCGGCAAGCTGAGATCGCGGCCGCAAACCAGGCTGCAGAGGAAGCACGCAAGGCGGAGGCTGAGGCGCAGGCTGAGCAAGCTGCATCCTTGCAAGGCGAAGAGGCAGCAAGCTCTATGGATTTCAAAGCCGATGAAGGGGAGCATGCGGAAGGCCAGGCGCAGCAGGAAGAGAGGGTACGCCACAGGGCTGTGCGCGTTCTGGTATGCGTTAGGATGAGATTAGCTAAAGTGCGTGTCGCGCGTTGGGGGCCACTGTATTCCGTGATTAGCACTCGTGCTTCGCCACCCGAATGGAACGTACACGTGCGCTGCCTTGCCTCCTTCAGGCAGCCGTCGTGGGAGGGCGACTCCTTTATCAGAACGACCTTATGCTACCCCTGGCTGCGTCCGCATCCGTAATTGGAGTGTTCCTTTTCGCAGCTTGCGTTGTGTTCAGGTAAAACCTGGTATTGGAGTGAAGCTAGTGTTGGCGAAGCGCACCCAAGTGGCGAATCTGCGCACTTTGAGTCAACCTAACAGCTTCGCTGTCGGACATTGATGTACTCCCTCAAGCGGGATTTACGTCAATTGGTCTATCGAGTACCCTAAGTTGGTATGAGGACATGGCGTCCCGGTCAAGCGCGTCCGTTTACCCCGCCATGCAGGAGGAGACGCCGGAGGAAAGGGGACGTCGAATCGCTTCGCAATGGACAAACGATCCCGAGGCTGCGGCTGTACCGGTGAGTTGGACTGACGTCCGGCGGTAGGAAAGCCCATCGTGGTGGTGCTGGTAGCTGCCTGGATGCCTCGGCTATGGTGCCAGGTACCCCATACGGTAGTACCTGTGGATGGCTATAGCTGCTTGCAGAATATCCTCACTACTTCTAAGTGGTGCAAGCTTGCATGGTTGTATGTTAGCAATGGGCGCGGGGGGAATTTAAGGAAGGGGAGGAAGGTTCTGGGCGCTTGCACTCAACCGGAAAACGTTCTGTAAGAAGCCCGAAGCCTTTGTGGCCCCACTCAGTGAATGTGTGCAAGTGATCCAACTCCTGCGTTGAACCATATGCGCCCGACCAGGAATCCGAAGGCCACCTGAACCCGGATGACCAGGAGGAGGATGTGGACGGCCATTATGACGGCACCGAGGACGATGGTACCGAGGGCCACTTTGATTACCCCAATACCGAGGCACAGTCATCCGATTACCATCCGGACCATGCGCGACGGCCACCGCGTCCAGGTGGGTGGCTTCCTTGTTGTCCAGGGGGCCCGGGAAATTGGCTAAATCGTCCAAATATCCTTTCGTAATACGAGTACGAGGCATTGGAACTGTGCTGTCAGTTTGAATGCGGGCAGGATCTTCATAGTGATGTGCCATCCCAGCCTGAGCGCCTTGGTGGCGTTTAGCGTTTGGGTTCTTTCGGGATAGTGCTCGACTGTTGGGCCAGCCGAGCGGTGACGTGCAGCCTGTCCGTTGGTTCGTTCCCCACATCCGTCGGGTTGCCGGAGCGGCCCGCAGAGGGCTCGACTGCGGCAGAGGAGCTCCCGGCGCCGTCCGAGTGGGAGGATCTCATGATGTTTCTTGACTTGGTGAAACAATGGGCGACCCGGTGGATGCGAACATTTGCAAATATCTTGAGAGAGGGCATCCGCGAAGACGTCTTGGCTTACCGAGAAAGACTTAAGAAACGCAACCTTGTGCGGCGGCGGCGGGAGGAGAAAAGTGCACGACTAGCCCCTCGGCCGCACCGCCATCACGCCCGTACAGCTGACGGCAGCCCACCAGCAGTGGCAGCGGCAGTTGCGTCAGGTATTGTCTTGCCACAAAAACAAGTATCCTCACAACAGTCCAAACGATGGCGGAAGTTGTCTGCTGGAACAACGCTGATAATTTTTAATACAAGACCAGAAGCAGGCGGTTGGCAATTCAATACCTCCCCCTCAGGCTCCCGGGCCCTTATGCGGTGGTCCGTTACGTCTGGTACTAATTGCTAAGCAACTTTCGGTTGCCATGCCACTCCCTATAAGGGCGCACGGCAGCCAAGGGCCTGCAAATAGTGGTGTTTTCTTATGAACGCGCGGGATTTGCTGCCCTGGCCTACCCCGTTATTTTTGCTGCACCTCTTCGCGTTGTAGATCCGTACTCACCGCTGAACAAGGCCAGAGCGGCGGTGATGGAGGCTGAAAGAAAGCTCCAGGGGCTCCAGAAGGACAAAGAGAACATCGGCACCTTCCTACACCGACCGTTGGACTTGGGCCCGGACGATATCTTCCTGGCGCTTGCAAACAAGTGCTTCACTTCATACCAGACGCGCTGGACGTATGAGATCTGCATGTTCGACAAGGCGGTGCAGAAGGAGGGCTACACCAACTCCGTGGTAGTGGGTCGCTGGTATGGCTTTTCGGATGACTATAGGACCATGTACTTTACAGGAGGCGACGAGTGCTGGAACGTGGGTCCACGCAGCATGACGGTGGCGCTATCCTGCGGCTGGGATGAGCGGCTGTCAGACGGCGAGGAGCCCAGCACCTGCGCCTATGCAGCAAAGTTGACCACGCCAGCTGTGTGCACGGAGGCTGAGCTGCATGAGCTGCAGCAACAGTTGGAGAACCTAGAAGCCTTTGAGAAGGAGGTCCAGGAAAAGATCCTGAAGGATGAGTTATAAGCTTCATCGGCTCGGATTGTGCTATCCTCTTATAAGCCGTGATGGTGGTAGTGGTTTAGATATGAAGGTGCCGTACCATTATTTCATTTAGCGATGGACCTTGTTGCCCATCGACAGGAATTGTCGGTAAGCGAGCGAAGCGCGCAATTGTGGCGGATCACAGGCAGATCAGGGCCAATGCGCAGGATATCGCAGATGTTTCGAGCTTGAAATAGTAGGGTTTTGGGGAAACGGACTGTTACCCAGCCATGAGATATGATGACGGCATACAAATCGTCGGCTTCATGCATAGGCTGTATTTTGAACCCAGGGCAGCATATTCCGGGATGGGGGGAGAGAGTTCCGTTAGCGAACTCATCTATGTTACACGGGCCTTGCCGTTCTTAGGTATGGCAGCAACAGGCTATGCGAGGAAAGGATGTGGTTTGTAATGTTATCGCCAATCAGCGCGTTCATCACAGGGCAACTGGGTACACAAGCATCAGAGCCTCATAGTAACAGCCGAGCGTCCTGTGCAGCCATGACCTGCGCGCCTTGTTCCTCCCGTCGTGTGAGAGGTCTTGGCCTGCCATGCAGCCTAAGCCAAGGAAGGATTGAGACAGCCATCCACAGCCGTTCCACCAGGTTGCTTGGACGGAGACATGCCGACAGGCTGCGTACGGGGTTTGCTACAAGGGATCCGGTGCTCTCCTGGCATGGGAGTCGTTTAAGGTACCACGCTCTGACTACTGGCCCTTTGGAATGACGGTAATTACCTGGTCGGCTGACTTAATTGGACGCCGCGACGTCGTTTGAGTCGATAGTGGCTTGGGCAGCATGACTTGACAACTTATAGGTTGTGCCAATACTGCAAGGAGCTCCCAGGACTGTTTCCGTCCCAGTACTAAACAAACACGGGAAACACCATCACTCTGCACTTGCATGTCAAAAAGAACGAGTACGTGTCGTTTCGTTGTACCTACATACGTTTCAAGCCGCCGAACCTAGCCGGTCATGTCCTTGTCCAGGATATGGCACCCCAAGCTTCACCCATCACCCTTCTGAACCCCCCCGCTAGAAATCGCGGAACGACATGCGTGGGTCGTAGTTCTTGTCACGCCCGCGTCCGCGACCCCGACCTCGCCGGCCGCGGCCCCGCCCGCCTCGGCCGCGCGGCCCCATGCGCCGCGCCGCGAAGGCATGTCCGTGCTTGACCTCGCACAGCTTGGCAACCTCCTCGTCGCACACCACACACACCCCGCTGACCAGGCTGCCTCCCTCTGCCTCTGCCGCCAGGGAGGGCGGCAGCTGGCCCTTCTTCCAGTCGAGGTCCAGTAGCCGACCCCCGCAATCCTGGGAGGCCAAAACGGAGAAGTCGGAAAAAAGAAACTGCGGACTCCGACCGCAGACGTGGACATGAGGAAGGCAGTGCGCTGGTTTGTAATGTGTTGGGTCGGTAGGAGGCCAGGCCGCAGCTCGGTAAATGAGTGCTCATGGGTGGGTTGCTAGTGGGTTTTCCAGGTGTGCCAGCTGGCAACTCAAAGGAATCACCATTCAGGATTTGGGTGTTGCAAGGCTGCAAGACAGGCAAGTGGCGGGACTCGATGAAAGCAAGGAACGACATCGTACTTGCTGCCCGAGCAAAGCGAGCAACGCCAGCTAAGAGCTCCGGCCAGCGGCCTAGTCGCGACCTCGACAACGTAAACCACCAGCGATCCTTCCCCTTTCCCTTCCCTAATCCCCTTCCCTAAACCCCGAAACGTCCAGACCTCTCGCCCTCGGCCTTGCCTTCCAAATTTCTTCCCTCCCTCCTCCCGTGGGGCCCCTCCCCCACCACACTGGCCCTCCGAAACGCCCTTCCGTCCGCGAAAAGTGCTTTAGGAAAGCCAATTGCACCTCAAGTTCTCTGTTTCTCTCGGCCTCTCACCTCGCATGTCTCCTTGGGCAGCACCTTGGCGCTATGCAGGTTCGGCGGCAGGTACATGAGGAAGTTGCAGCGGTTGCAGTCCAATCGCCACTTGGGGGCCGACACGGGGTCCAACACCACAGTGCCTCCGGAGCAGCCCGGGTTGGGACAGGGGAAGACGCCGTTGGAGGCCAGGGAGTGAGGGCAGGTGGGGTGGGTGCAGGTGGAGCAGGGCATACCGGCCTTACCACCCGGGGCACCCTCCACACCAACCTGGGGATGGTATGCAAAGCGTGACAAAGGGTTTTGGGATTTAGGATTAAAATGGTGGTGTACAGTTTGCGAAAGCCGGGTTGGTTAGGGTCGGGGAAGGGGAAGGGTCCCCTCCAAGGCTGGTCAGTGTCCGCCCGCCATGCCTCTCGCCCCTCAACCTTCCTTTTTCGTCCCTCCCCGTCGCCCTTCCCCCAGCCACCCACCTTTAGCACCCCCTCGAAGGGCGGGTTGTTGTAGCAGAAGGGGCACAGCGGGTAGGTCTTGCCGTCCGACCCCGACAAGGAGAACAACAGCAGCTCATAACCGTCCAGGGGGCACACCAGACTCTTGTAAAGCTTGATGGCGCCACCCTGCGCGCGTGTGTGTGTATGTGTATGTGTGTGTATGTGTATGTGTGTGTATGTGTGTGTATGTGTATGTGTGTGTATGTGTGTGTATGTGTATGTATGTGTATGTATGTGTGTGTATGTATGTGTATGTGTGTGTATGTGTATGTGTATGTGTGTGTATGTGTATGTGTGTGTATGTGTGTGTATGTGTATGTATGTGTATGTGTGTGTATATGTGTGTGTATGTGTATGTGTGTGTATGTGTGTGTATGTGTATGTGTGTGTATGTGTGTGTATGTGTGTGTATGTGTGTATGTGTATGTATGTGTATGTGTGTGTATGTGTGTATGTGTGTATGTGTGTGTATGTGTGTGTATGTGTATGTGTGTGTATG